TCCTCCGCCCACCACAACCCCTCCCACCCACATCTGGGCACCTCTGAGGGACACGAAGGGATCCCCACGGCCACTTACGCTCCCAAAGATGGGCAGCTCCTTGTTCAGCAGCTCCTTGAGCTCCGCCTTGCTGAGCTTGTACTTGTCCCCTTCCTTCCCCGAGTACTTGTGGAAGGTGGTGACCATCACGGCCAGCGCCTGCTCCAGGGGACATGCCATCGCCAGCTTCCTGCACACCTGGAGGGCAGAGCACCGGGGACAGGCTCAGGACAGGTTCGGGGTGGTGATGGGGATCCGTCCCCCCACCCTGCCCAAATCGCTCTGCGATGCTGCAGAGCTGCAACCCCGGCACCTCTCGGGGAGGTGTTTTGGGGTGCAGCGACTGCGGGGTGGGTTGCAGCTGGGGAGCGAAGCCACGAAACGAGGGACGGGAGCAGAGACTCACCGGGGTCGTCGCGGAGCAGCAGTGGTGAGGATCCAGGGTGCTGCAGCCGGAGCGCGATGGGCATTTATAGCCCGGCTGGGGTGGCACTGCCCAGCGCACCCCGCGCAGCCCCCTCGCCTCCAGGCTTTCCCAGCGGCTCCGTGCAGGTGGTTTCGCCCACACCTCATTTTTGCCTAACGAGCTGCGTGATTCCATTAATGGGAGGCGGGTGGGTTTTTTGGGTGCTGCTGGGAGGAACTGCTGGGGAGACTGGGGACCAAGGTGCAAGTCAAGGGATGGGTGCAGGGACTGGGAAGGGTTGGAGCATCCCTTGGGGCTCCCTGGAGGGAGCTGGTCACCAGCCCACTTCCCCCCTAAGCCATCACTGCACTGTCCTGCCACTCTCTCAGCTTTCTGGGTGTCCCCTGTCCCCCCAAGACAGTTGGTCCCAAGTGCTGCCATCTTGGTGACGCCAGTGCAAACAAACAGCAGGGTTGGGGAGGTGACAGCAGTTTCATGTGACCTCCAGGTCCTTCAGGAGCTGCGTTCAACCCGTTGTTGAGCAGGGTACCCAGAGCTGACCCCACCAGGGACACGAGGACAGGAGCACGGGCTCGAGCTCCCTAAACTGGGGCCAGCTGCAGATCCTGGTACCCCCATCCCTGTCCCACAGCCCTGCACCGTCCCCCTCCCCGCCTGCCATATGGTGCTGTGGAAAATGCCCCCGGGCTTCCCAGGAGGAGCACCCATGGGTGCAGCCGCTGAGCACACAAACCACCCCCTGCCCACATGGATGCTCGTGCAACACGCTTCCTCCAACACGCCCCCGGCCCCTGCGGCAGCCCCTCCTGTGCCCCTGGCTTCCCCGTTGCACCCACGTTTTCTCCGAGCAGCTCTGGGACAGGAAATAACATGCCCAGCCTCAACCAGCACCGGCAAAGGTGTTGCAACCGCTCAGAGCCCCAGCCCGGATGCCCGGGTCCTGCGGGGAAGCGTGCACAAGGGAGGGGGACATCCTGAATTTTTTTCTGCGCAATGCAGCCAATCTGTGTCTAGAAATATAAGGTGTTGGGGTCTGGTTTCTCCCTCTTGGAGAAACCCCAAGAGTCTATCCCAGATCCTGCCGGATTGCTGGGATCCCATGCAAACATCCGGGCGCAGCGCCTAGCCAAGCCCCGCTCACCCCATAACAGCAGCGTGAGTCACCAGCCCTGCCCTCAGCCGGGAGGGATTCCTCCACCGTGACTCAACCGCAGCCCTGCCCCGCTGCACCGTCTCCTACGGGGGATCCCCCACTTTGCCCAGGACCCCCCGGTGCAGCAGGGCAGGGGGAGGTGGGCTG